ACTATTCTCCCACAGCCCTAAAGCCAATAGGAAACTATTATATTCCTTATATTTTTCATTAATTATAAAAGTATACTGACTCGTGCTCGCTCTCCCTCTCTCTAGGGGAGAGAGAGAGAGAGAGAGAGAGAGAGAGAGAGAGAGAGAGAGAGAGAGAGAGAGAGAGAGAGAGAGAGAGAGAGAGAGAGAGAGAGAGAGAGAGAGAGAGAGAGAGAGAGAGAGAGAGAGAGAGAGAGAGAGTGTGTGTGTACTCACCTAGTTGTGCTTGCCGGGGTTAAGCTTTGGCTCTTTGGTCCCGCCTCTCAACTGTCAATCAACTGGTGTACATATTCTGGGGCCTACTGGGTTCTGTCATATCTACATTGGAAACTATATGGAGTCTGCCTCCACCATATCACTGTCTAATGCATTCCTTCTGTTAACTATTCTGACACTTAAAAAGTTGTTTGTAACGTCCTTGTGGCTCATATGGGTACTAAATTTCAGTGTTCCAAATTTAAGTGTACCATTGTTCGCGTATCACCCGTGCTAAACGGTTTATCTTTATCTACCCGGTCAATATGTGTGTGTGTGTGTGTGTGTGTGTGTGTGTGTGTGTGTGTGTGTGTGTGTGTGTGTGTGTGTGTGTGTGTGTAGGAGAGAGAGAGACTCAGTTAGATTCCCTTGTAAATTAACCATTTTTACATTTTCTCTCAAAGTGCTTTCTGAGAAAACGAAATATCACATTCAGTTTTGCAGCGCTAACTGTAATATTGGGTTAAAATTTACCGGTGAGAAATATTGGTGATTAATATCAGTTTTTGTGATTAACGGTATATACTATCTATAGCAGTGTAAAGAATATTATCCTATCGGAACATTGGTATTTGCTGATTGACAATATATTACTTTAGTATTTGCTGATTAACATACTTCAAGTAAATGATCGAATATTTTCACAAACAAATTTATATTTCTTTATTTACTAGAGTATAAAAATGGTATTTTATGTTTTTAAATTTTAGTGAACAAATCGTTCATTTCCTTAAATATATCTGATCAATCAACAATCCGTTTGGTGAATCAGCAATCTATCTAATCAATCAGAAATCCTCCTGACCCAAATACAAGCCAACTGACATACATTAAACCCATCTCCCATCCCCCTACCCGCCCACATGACCCAAAAAAAATACAAGAAAGGCAAACTGTATTATAACGAGATTCAAGATCGCTTGAGGCTGCGTCTGAATGAAGTCCGGGATTTACCGAACCTCTCGAGGGGAAAAACGAAAATAATAAACCTTTAGGGGATACTGACTTTTCTCTAAAACAATATCGTTATGGATTATTTGGCGAGTGTCGGTAAAAATGCTTATGGAAGGGCCCTAGCTTTCTGCCACTTGTATGTATATATATATATATATATATATATATATATATATATATATATATATATATATATATATATATATATATATATATATATATATATATATATGTGTGTATATCACGAAAATAAACACGTGATTAAGAATGTGACAATGTCAGACCACGGAGGAAAAATGAAACAGGAAATTTCCTTAAGTACTTTCGTATATTAAATACATCTTCAGAAGGTCAACACTCAACAGAGCTACCTGCTTGCAGGAGGGGCGGCCAGTCAAGGCAAACGATCCTGTCTTGCAATTACGCTCCATGCAATGATGCTGACACCAGCAAGGGACACCTTCTGAAGATGTATTTAATATACGAAAGTACTTAAGGAAATTTCCTGTTTCATTTTTCCTCCGTGGATATATATATATATATATATATATATATATATGTCGTACCTAGTAGCCAGAACGCACTTCTCGGCCTACTATGCAAGGCCCGATTTGCCTAATAAGCCAAGTTTTCATGAATTAATGTTTTTTCGATTACCTAACCTACCTAACCTAACCTAACCTTTATCATGTATATCTTGTAACCATCAAATGCATAATAAAGCACAAAAAATATTCAAGGAAGGGGGTGGTAGGAGAAAAGCACACAGAAACTGTATTGGAGGGGATCTAAACATTCCCTCTAATGCGTTATGCGTGGTTTCCTCCGAGGCTATGGGTCCCCCTTCTTCCAGCTAGAGGTGGTACTCCCTTCCTATGTATATATATATATATATATATATATATATATATATATATATATATATATATATATATATATATATATATATATACCCTGGAAGAATGGCAAGCAGTTGGTATGGGACTACACGTGCGTATCAACCCTGGCTAACACCTACATTAACCTCAGTGTTGCACAACCAGGTGGCGCTGCCACCCACAGGGAAGCAGCCAAATCCCGTAAGTATAGAGAACTGGATCACCACTACAATTTTGTCCCCATTGCTTCTGAGACGCTCGGCGCCTGGGGTAAAAGTGCTACCAGTTTTTTGAAGGAACTGGGTTCTAGGCTCATTGAAACAACAAGGGACCCAAGAGCTGCAAGCTTTCTTTTCCAGCGCCTCAGTGTGGCGATACAGAGGGGAAATGCGCACTGCATCCAGGGTTCCTGCCCGCCATCTGAGGAGCTGGAGGAACTCGACAACCTATGACAACCATCTTTGTAACCCATATGTAACTCCTTTTTTGTAACAAAGTTCAAATAAAGTAAATATATATGTGTACATACAAAAGAATGGGGGTGGTAGGAGAAGATAATATTAGTGTTCAGTGAGAAACCACAAGGTCTCCTCTGAATACTTTTTATTTTCTTCTCCGAGGCTATGGGTCCCCACATTGGCACCAGAGGTGGTACCCTCACAAAATTTTTATATAAATATATATATATATATATATATATAAATATATATATATATATATATATATATATATATATATATATATATATATATATATATATATATATATATATATAATGTCGGCCAACCAACAAACTAACATAGAATATTCTATATTAGTTTGTGATAGGCTTACATTAGGATATCCTAAATATAGGCCTAACATAAGATATCCTAGGTGTAATGTAATCTAACCATGGTCTAGATTAGGCTGCTGAACTTAACTGCCTAACGTAAATTACCCTTAGCCCAACCATGTACAAAACCTATCTGAGTACATAAACATAATAACCTAGGCCTAACAATTTATAAAACGTTTATTTCACTTAATTAAGAAAGTTAACCCCCTTGTATTTCAATTTTTTTTGTTTAATCGAGATAAAAGTTGTCTATAATCTGGTCTCACAAGTACAGATCTGCTCAAATTGTGAAACAGGATAAAGCCTGTTTTAAAACAGGATAAAGCCTGTTTTAAAACAGGCTAACGTTGGATAAGGCTGGTGCTAGGATATTGTTTGACGATGGGTTCATTTATGGGGTGGCTGGATAAATCCGGTGGTGGATGCCGAGAGTGCCGAGATAAAGCTGGGAGATGGATTCATTGATGAGGTGCTGCGATTAGCCTGGTGGATGAATGAGTTGATGGGGCAACAAAATAAAGCTAGCGAATAAATAGATTGTTGAGGTAACAGGATAATGCTAGGTGATGGACTAATATATAAGGTGGCAGGATAAATTTGGGGGTGGATTAAGTGATGGGACCGCCAGGATAAAGCCGAGGGAGTGGGATAACTGATGAGGTGATGAGGTGCCAGGATAAAGCTGGCGCATTCCTAATTGACAGGGAAACCAGCTTTGCTAATGCCAGAACAAACCTGGCTTCCTGTTACTACTGTAAAGCTGATGGCTAGTTAAAGTTGGTGCCTGGTTAAGGTTCCTAGCAAAAAAAAAGTTAGTGGCAATATTAAACTGGCTGTTGGTCAAGGCTAGGGAATGCACTCGAGGTGGTCAAGAGAGGTGTGGATGGAATGACAAGCCAGGGATATGGTCAAGGGCGGGGCTGGTGGCATGCCAGGCCTGGGAGGTGGTCAAGGGCGGGGCTGGTGGCATGCCAGGCCTGGGAGGTGGTCAAGGGTGGAGCTGGTGGCTTGCCAGGGCAAGGAGGTGGTCAAGGGTGGAGCTGGTGGCTTGCCAAGCCTGGGAGGCGGTCAAGGGCGGGGCTGGTGGCTTGCCAGGGCAAGGAGGTGGTCAAGGGTGGGGCTGGTGGCAAGCCAGGCCTGGGAAGCGGTCAAGGGTGGGGCTGGTGGCTTGCCAGGCCTGGGAGGCGGTCAAGGGTGGGGCTGGTGGTATGCCAGGCCTGGGAAGCTGGGAAGCGGTCAAGGGTGGGGCTGGTGGCTTGCCAGGCCTGAGAAGCGGTCAAGGGCGGGGCTGGTGGCATGCCAGCTGGGGCGGGAAGTGGGCAGCAGTCCACAATGCGTGACTCTGTTGTCTTCAAGGAACAACTTCCCTTACATCTTCAAGTGCAGGTACTGTCAACACTTCAGTGAACGGCAGCAGTACCCCCAATTCCCCTCCACGACATTGATCTGTTTCCCTCTACTACAGTAAGAACGGAAGTGCTTTTCGTCCTCCACGACAGCAAGAGCGGCAGTGTCGTACTTCTCTCCCGCGCAAGAAGTACGACCCCGGGTTGCCAGTTTGTGGCCAGGACGTGTCGTCGCATGAAGACATAGTCATAACACATCATATTGTTCTTCTCGAGTCTGTGGGGCTGTTGCCGGGATGCAGCAAGACTCCTGACGAAGGAGAAGTGTTGTTGGGGAGAGAGAGAGAGTGCGGTGACCTCCAGTGCTTCTCTCTCTTCTCTCTCCACCTCCAAACGCAGCTCCACCAATAACGCCCCCCCCCCTCCCCCTTCACCACCGGCTTCTGGAAAACCCATGCACCTTGCCCCCAGAATATGAACGAAATATCATATGCAAAAATATGTACAGCATATTCTCTCTCAATAGCCGCTAATTTTTCGCATTCTCTCACTATTATGTAGCCCCCAGTCTCTGTGGGTAGAGATAGAGGAACAAAAATTGCTGTGAAAATGAAGAGGAAATTGCATCTCCAGGCGAGTCAGTACGCCGGCTAGACTAGGCGGGTGCCAGCCTCCGAAACGCGCACAAAAGGCAAATAAAACTCGTGAAATCACAAGCCCTCGAGGCTTCGGTCCGAGTTTCGCTGTTTCCACGACAAGCGAACCGTACACCCCCGAGACGCAGGAAACAAGGCCGAAAGCCAGGTAGCACGCAAGTGGTAATATGGCCAAATGAGGAAGAAGGATTAAGCAACAGCGCCCCTCAGCCAGCCAGCCCGGCAGGCAGGCAGGCAGCAGCAGCAGCAGCAGCCGACGCCTGGCACCCAGTGTTCAGTGTGCCGGTGACGGTGGAGGTGACAGAACGCGCACAGCAGACCCGTCGCTCGCCCACACCATACCTGCCCCCCCACGACCCTTCCCAGGATCCCCGTAAATAACCCACCGGAACCCGAAGCCAGTATGAGGACTCTCCTAGCACTCGCCGCCGCCGCCACAGTCCTGGCCACAGGTAAGGGCTATGCGAGAGCGAACCAGAAGATGCCAAGGAAAGCTTTGTGCGTCCGGCTCTCTCTTCCTCTCAACGCGGCGCTTATGTGGCTCCCCTTCTTATGTCATTCCGGCCTTGCTTCATCACTTAGCTAAGTAAATCGGATGAAGAATTTCATACTAAGGATGTTATGGGCATCGAAGTCGTACTGAGTGTGTTCGTGAGCGCTGAATGCAGTTTCTTGCAGCAGCTGCTCGCGTCTTCAAAGAAAATAATTCTGTTATAATAAATCCAAAAGACATAACGTTCATGTTTTTTGGCATCTGAAAATGGAAAAGAATATCTGTATATCTGTTCATGTATCCCAACGTCTGCTTCTACGTATGTCTGTGTACCCTGACTGTATTCCTGTCAGTGCGTTTGTGTCTGTGTCTGTCTTTCTGCCTGTTTGTGTATCTGTCCGTGTGTCTGTGAGCCTGTCTATATGTGTATCTGTTCGTGGGTATGTGACTGTCCGTCTGCCTGTCCGTGCCTCTGTCCTTGACCTGTCCGCGTACCTGTCCGTGTGTCTGTCAGTGAGTATGTAGGTATTTCTGTCTGTGAGTCTGGCAGGATCCAGCTCTCATCTCCCCGACAAGCCGTCGGGCGCACCTGGTGCGTCCACTGTGGCGCCTCGCTCTCTCACTCTCTTTCCTGTTTTCTCACCCACCTTTCCTCTCATGTTTCTCTTCCTCCTCATCCATTAACTCCACTTCTTCTCGGTACCCCACGTCCTCTTCCGCTAAACACTTCCTTATCCTCCAATTTCAAGCATAATAAGTCTTTCACTTTCTTCTGTTAAGCTTCCTATCCTGTCCTTTCCAATTCCATCTTTTCGCTCTGTTACCTAGTTTCCGTCCCAGTTCTTCTATTCTCTCCCCTCACTTTTCTCTCTCTGGACCTCCATCCATTCTTCCCTCCCTTCACTCTCTTTCAACCTACACCCCATCCTTCCCTCCACCACTCTCTTTTGACCTCCACCCACTCTCTTTTTGACCCCCACCCTGTCCTTTCCTCCCTCACCCACCTTTGACCCACTTTCCCTTCCTTCATTCCACTTCCCCTTCTTTCTTTCCTGCTAGTCATGCTGACCATAGGCAATTAAAAACAAATCTTCGAAGAAGTCCTTTCACTGTTTAATGTGTCTTTCATTTAAGTTGTTGTTTCATTAATTAGGATGCTTGTGTGTGTGTGTGTGTGTGTGTGTGTGTGTGTGTGTGTGTGTGTGTGTGTGTGTGTGTGTGTGTGTGTGTGTGTGTGTGTGTTTGTATTCTGATGTCCCCTGATAAGGGGAAACGTTCCTTAATTATCTCTAGATATTCTCACCCAAACATTGAAAATAAGAGTTTCGGTGGGAATTTTGAATTTATCGTGTATTCCAGACATTATATCACTCTTTATGAGACATGCATCCGGCTCCAAGAATCTCCAAGGAGCGCGAGCTCGGTTTTACTGGCTTCCAGGGATGGGTTTGATTCTTCAGGCTTTGGGAGACGGCTTCAGTATGAAGGGTTTAGAGGCAGAGTTTCAATCTTACTAATATCTTGAGCAGTTGTGATTTTAGTAATTTCGGGTTAAATGTACAATGACATTTTCGTCTATTTTCATAAATATTGCACAAATGTGTGCTATACCAGCAGACGTCCGCTGTTCTTCAGTGACAAAATTTCATAGTTTACTCAAATTGCTTCACTTTGTTCTCTTGTTTGAATTCTTTAAATACCTCACCCATGTGCTACACATACAAACGTAGCCCGTCCTCATCAACAATTAGCCTGTCCCTGCTGACGTTCGGACATTTCTCGAACAGTGCTTCGCTGACGCCCTTTGTTCGAATCGAAACCTCAAAAATGTTTCACCCACGCATTACAAATAATTGCCAACAGAACCTAAACATCTAGCGAAATTGATAGTAATACTAGTTTATATTCGAGAAAATTCCAATTTTGAATGTTAAAATGTTAAAACTGATGAAGGCGTTTTTGGGGCTGGCCTCTGGATGGAATGAACATTGCCTGAGGACTGGATGTACAAATAATCGTCAACAGAACCAAACCCACTAATCTAACCTCAAGACCAAACTGTACAACAAAATTACAAGCAGCAAAAAGCATTTATATTTGATAATCAACCAATTTTTAGATAACAAAGTGAGGTTGGCATAGCCGTAGGGTGGGATGGATATTTTTGGCAGCGTTCTCTTCTCTGAGAACTGATTCCCCACCTCCCGTGTTTCGGGGCAATCGGCTCGGCTTTTACGAAGGTCTATGTTGTTTGTTATTGTTCTTATGTCTTAGGGTCGTGGTCTGTTACTTGGCGTGCAATGTGGAAAGCATCAAAAACCAATGGCTCGGGTGCGGGGAATCCTTACTTGGATGTATCATGCAAGAAACCCAACAAAATCCAAGAGATTTTGCCCTGGAGCGAATTCACGATTCTTTGATGGTGTTGAACGGACTCATTTCTCCTGACAGTGGGATACCACATTTTTCCAACGAAGAGACATCTCATGTTTCTAATGGAGTGGTACTCCATTCTTCTGACGGAGGCATTCCCCATTCTCCTGACCGAGGGATACCCAATTAGTGGACAAAATGCTTGCTTTCTGGCCCGGTGGTATACTATGCTCTGACCTCTCAAAATTTTTTTTTAGTCGAGACATGAGCTGACTACCAGAAAATTTTGGGGCCAACTCAAGTAAGTAAGAAAGAACCAGCAATTTTCCGTTCGATTCTTCCCAAAAGTGCGTGCAGCAGCACTATTAGGGAGTCACTCGCTCTGAGCTTCGTTATTACCGAGTCACTCGCTGTGGGTTTCGTTATTCTCGAGTCAACACGCTATGGGCTTCGTTATTTCCAACGAATCTCTGTGAGCTTCGTTGTTTTCAAGGCACACTATGAGCTTCGTTATTACCGAGGCACACTCTGTGAGCTTCGTTTTTACCGCGGCACTCCCTGTAGGCTTCCTTAATACCGAGGAACTCTCTGTGAGCTTCGTTACTTCTGAGAAAATCCCTCTAAGCTTCGCTGATATTGGGTGACTATTTGTAGGCTTCTTTAATTAGAAGTTTTAACTTCTTCGCATGTTAAGTGTGTCGCTAGCGAGATGCACGTGCGTGTCCTCACCTGAGTGTGCTTACTGTGTTGGGCGCTATCTCCCGTCCCCTCGTGGGTCTCTGATATTTTTGTCTACAGCTTATGCTTTAAATTTTTTTTAACTTGTTTTAAACCTATTCTTAATAATTTCCTTTACGCTGAAGAAGGTCTGTCTAGTATCTTTGTGGCTCATTTGTGCAGTTTCGCTTAAGAGCGTTCATATCTTTATTATGTCTCCTCTGATCCGTGTTTGTTCAAGTATTTCGAAGTACTGGATTTTGAATCGTTTTACATAGGTTAGGTTAGCTTAGGATTAGTTAGGTGAACGTAGGTTAGCTCAGGTTTATTTTGGTTAGACTGCTCAGGTAAGGAACGAGTCTCTTTACCTTCATAAGAACTTTTTCTAGATTTGTTCAGAGTTCTTTTAAGTGTTGCATAACCGCATATGGAAGAACTGTTGTAAGTTTACCCTCATGACCGACCTTCTCCGGACTCGGAGAAGGTCGGATCGTGAGAAGATTATTCTCACACGCTATTCTTTCATATTCTCACTATTTCATATCCTCGCTCTGTTTCATATTCCTTATATTACTGTGTATGGTATTCTTGTTATGGAAATTGTAATTGAGTAGCCAACAAAAGTAGCCAAGGACAGCACGCTGGTCTTGTGATCCTGTGGTCCCGGGTTCGATCCCAGGCGCCGGCGAGAAACAACGGGCAGAGTTTCTTTCACCCTATGCCCCTGTTACCTAGCAGTAAAATAGGTACCTGGGTGTTAGTCAGCTGTCACGGACTGCTTCCTGGGGGTGGAGGCCTGGTCGAGGACCGGGCCGCGAGGACACTAAAGCCCCGAAATCATCTCAAAATAACCTCAAGATCTCAATAAATTACCCAGCCACTAGGCATCCAATCACCCAGCAGGCTGTCGTCCTGACCAGCCTTCCATTTCTTATATTTTTATGTTCCCCTCTATCCTTCCTTCTATCCTTCCCCTCTATCTTTCCCCCTCCCTCCTCCCCTATCTCCATCCCTCCCTGCCTTCATTCCTATTTCCTTCCATCCCTCCCTTAATTCTTTCCTCCTACACTTCTTTCTTCCTTTCTAATTTCTCATCCCACCCCTCCCTGCCCCACATCTCATCTCCACTCTTTATTTCTAGTTCCCTCTTTATTTTTTTACTCCCACTCTTTATTTCTTATCCATCCTTGATATCTCCTGTGTCCTTTCTTCTCTACTCATCTGGTCGTCCCTCTTTAATTTCCCCCCTCACGTTCTCATCACTCGTTTCCCTTATGCTATACATCTCCTCACTGATTTCTCATCACTCCCTCTCTGTCTCTATGCTCTTTACCCTATCTACCTTCTTTCATAGCCTAATTTCCCTTTTGTCCATCTACATTTCTTCTCTTCTTCATTCGTTTTGTATGGACCCTCATTCCTCATTTGTCCTTTGCCCCTCCATTCTATTCTAGTCTCCCCCTATTGCTATCTCCCTTTCTCCCATTCCATCTATTTCCCTCTCTGCTTCTCTCGTTTTTTTGTCGATTATATCGAGGTTTTCTTCGTTCTCTCTAAATGATGGCGCTTTCCCTATAATCTCTGTAATTTCTCCCTAATCTCTATAATTTCCCTCTCTTTCCCTGTCATATAATCTTACTTCTACCTTTTTGTGGTTAAATGACCAAATTGTCCCAACGGATCGCCCATTTATTATGCGAGGCGAACTTCTAATATTGCCCTTTCAACGTACACGGCTTCCCATAATTGCCCATTCAGCGATATACGACCCCTGTCGTTACCCTTCAGCGGGATACGACCCGTATCGTTGCCCCTTCAGCGATATATGACCCGGGTCATTTCCTCTTCACTGATATACGACCCCCTGTC